TCTTTCGTGCTGTGTAAAACAAAGCCAGTAGACATTGTAATGCTGTGGGCATACCTGAGTAATGTTGTGGGCATACACAAGGTAATGCTGTGGGCATATCTGAGTAATGCTGTGGGCATACACAAGGTAATGCTGTGGGCATACATGAGTAATGCTGTGGGCATACACAAGGTAATGCTGTGGGCATACACAAGGTAATGCTGTGGGCATACCTGAGTAATGCTGTGGGCATACATGAGTAATGCTGTGGGCATACATGAGTAATGCTGTGGGCATACACAAGGAAATGCTGTGGGCATACATGAGTAATGCTGTGGGCATACACAAGGTAATGCTGTGGGCATACATGAGTAATGCTGTGGGCATACACAAGGTAATGCTGTGGGCATACACAAGGTAATGCTGTGGAGTAATGCTGTGGGCATACACAAGGTAATGCTGTGGGCATACATGAGTAATACTGTGGGCATACACGAGTAATGCTGTGGGCATACACGAGGTAAGGCGTGCGGAGAGTTTACCCTGTGGGACTGAAGTGATGTCTCAGCAGCTGAGTCCTTGCTGCTCTTGCAGAGGACCTGAGTTCAGTTCCCAGAACCCACATTACGTGGCTTGCAGTTGACTGTAAATCCGTCTCCGGGGGGTTCTGGAGTCCACCCACACTGCATTCACATGCACCTCCCCACACAGATACTCACATACATATGTCATTAACAAATAATGTCTTTAAAAAAGCAACTTTTCATGTGATCCTGAAGACAGTAAAAGACTCTGTTTACTGCTCTCAGTAGTCTCTCTAGACTACAGAAAGGAAGAAAATATAGTTTATTATCTTGTGAATAAAGTTATATGATAATTCCAAAGTTTTCTGCTAGTTATACATTTTAACTTTTATATAGTGGTCAAATAGATTGTAAATTCAATATAGAACATGTGCAGATTCAAATTATAAAGGCAAAGACTTCATAAATGCAAAAATTGCATTGATGATTTCATTTTCATTCTGAAATAGTGATTTCATCACCCAAATCTGTTACAGAGGAAAGCACTGGAAGTGGATTCAGAGAAGGGAAATAGATCTACCCAGAGTTCTCCAGTTGATGAAGGTGCTGATTGATATCACTAAGCTCCTGGGTGATGCTATTAAGGATAGAAAAAAGTTACTGATTTGCAGTGTTTAAGAAAAATATCTTTTTGTTTTGAGGAACTATAGGCTTTTCTCTCCCATGCAGTTCGTTCAGTAATTTTCCTTGGCTTTGCTCCTCCTGCACTTTCCTGTGCATGCCTTCAGTATTCCTATGATTCAATTTATAAAGTGGTATCAGGCATTTAGTTTTTTGAGAGAGGGTCTCAGGTAGCCCAGGCTGACCTCAAACTCACTATGTGGCTAAGAACGATCTTGAATGCCTGATGCTCCTGTCTTCATCAAAGTTGATGAGTGACTGCTGGGCTTATAGGCATATTCCAATGCAACTGGCTTAATGCAGTACTCTGATTGAACCCAGGGTTTCGTGAATGCTAGGCAAGTACTCTGTTTACTAAGCTATATTTCCAGCCTGTATTCATAAGCTTTTACAACCATCATCACTATCTAATTTTATAACATGTCATTGCTACAAATAAAAACCTTAATAGTCATCCCCAATTTCCTTTTAATCTTAGTTCCCGATTGCCCCTTAAATTTTCAGTCCTACTTACTTGCCTATCCTAGACAGTTCATGTGAACAGATTCATAAAATGTGCAGGCTTACTTTTTAAAAGAATATTTTACTTATTATTTTTATTTTGCGTGTATGAGTGTATTGTCTGCATGTAGATGAGTGCACCTATGTCGTGCATCGCCGTGGAGGACAGAAGAGGGCCTTGGGTTCCATTTGTCTCCTGTTGTACAATCTGTACCTGGGAATGTTTTATGTGCGCTTGAGAAGAATGTGCCTTATGCTGCTATTGTGCTTGCTAGATCCAACCTTTGGACTTTGTGACACAATGTTGCTATTAAAAACTTCTTACTTCAGAACCATACAAGCAAGTTACAAATCAGATTCACAAAACTGCAATAATGTTTTAAGTAAGTTTACAATATTGTGTTCAGTGATATCCATAGCTCGTTTAGAACCTCTGCAGCCTGTGGGCCACAGTTTGGGAACACCTGCTGATATAGAAAACTTTATGCTTAGGAAGACATAGTTATCTGGGTTCTGAGGCAAAGCAATTGAGAGCTACAGGGCTCTCAACAATTTTTGAATTATAAGGCTCTCAATAATTAAAAAAATTCTGCTCCTCAATACAAGAGAGACAAAAACATATCTCCAGATTCCTCATGTGTTCCCTACTGACATGTGAAGGAATTTTCACATGCAAATCAAGACTCAAATTACCTTGTTATTTATAAATTGTTTCTAAGCAGGAAGCCACTATCTGTGCTGTTTTCAGATGGCACCAAACATATTTTAACTGCTAATTGCATTGGTAGTTTCAAAGTAATTTAGAAACTGGAAACCGAGTCTTCTTCTTTCTTTTAGCTATCATTTTTTTTGTTCTTTGAGAATTTCATAGATATATGCAATGTATTAAAGTTACCAATGTCTTGAGGACCTACTATCTACCATCTCTATCAAAACTGGGAGACAGAAATTGGTGAATAAGAAAGTTTAATTCAAGTCCAGGATTGACAAAATGCGGTAGCAACTACATGCTTCACAGAAAACACGCCTCAGAAAATTCCAGAAATTTATTCTTTGTTCTTCCATGGAAGCTCCTTGGAGCATAGAGATCTGATTTTTCTCTGGAGTTTTTGTGTGGCCCAGTGACATCTTACATCCCTATTGACATCCTAATCGGTAGAGGAAAGATGTCTTCTGGAATTTAAGGCACCAAGTGAGAAGCACTAGCCCAAGTGAACAGTGGCTATATATGAGTCAGTGGGTAAGTCAAGCAGGGCTTTGAGTATCAATGCTCAGGTAAAGAAAGCTATTGCAGGTGCTAGAGAGACACCTCAGTCGCTATTCTTGCAGAAGACAGGGTTCAAATCCCAGCACCCACATGGCAGCCAACAACTGTCTGTAACTCCCGTTCCAGGGGATCTGGCAGCCTCTTCTGTCCTCCGCGGGCATTGCATGACACAGATGCGCTTATCTACATGCAGGCAATACACGCATACACATAAAATAAAAATAATACATAAAATATTTTTAAAAAGAAAGATCCTCCTTCCTCTTCAGCATATCCTCCCCATGTACATTGCCACCACCACTGGCCTGATAAATCTATTGGATCATTCCCCGCCCCAACCCTGGTTTCCCTCTCCAGCCCTCCCTGGACCCCCCACATCTCTTTCAGCTTCCTGTCTTTTACTGGAGTGTAAGAAAACTATCAATGGTCACACCTCTGAAGAAAACTGGCTCTTCTACCCTCAGCAGCCATCAATTGCCAATAGCTCCTCAGCTAGGGGGAGAGTCCCATGATACCCTCCCCAATACATGCTAGAAGACTGGCTTGATCTTGTTCAGGTTTTTTTTCTGGCAGCCACAGTAGCTGTGAGTTCGTGAGAGCAACAGCCTCATCATGTCCAGAATACACTGTTTTGCAGTCCCCCTCAACCACTGGCTTTTACAGTCTTTCCACCCTCTCTTCCACAATGATCCTTGGGGTTAGGAGTGTGAAATAGATGGCTTAATTTGGTTGTTCACGCCACAGTCACTTATCCTCTGCATTCTGACCAGTCATGAGTCTCTGTTCTAACTGCTATCCACTACAGAAAGAAGCATGTCTGATGAGGGCTGAAAACTGCACTAATCTATGGGTATAGAAATAACTGTTTAGAAGCCGGGCATGGTGGCACACACCTTTAATCCCAGCACTTGGGAGGCAGAGGCAGGTAGATCTCTGTGAGTTCAAGGCCAGCCTGGTCTACATAGTGTCCAGGACGGCTGAGGCTACAGGGAGACCCTGTCTCAAAAAGACCAAAAATTAAATATATATATATATATAACTGTTTAGAAGGCAGTTTGGTACTAGGACCATTCAGTAAAATAATAGTGGTTGATTCCCCCTTAGGGCTGAGCACCCACCCAGTCATAGATTCTTGGTCAGGTTTACAGTACCAGGCATGAGTGCCTCTCTGAAGAGCAGGCCTTTATCCAATCAGAAAGCAATTGGTTACCCCCCAGACATCCAGCACATTGTTGTACCACTGTATCCATCTTGCCTTGCTAGTCACCACTGTAACTCGCAGGCTTCACAGCTGGCTAAGAGTTGATGAGCTTTCTCTCCCAGTAGCCTGCATAGCACCTTTTTGCTACAAAAGCTATCTATCAGTGAGGATCCTTCCAGGGCAGTACCAGCTTGATTTCTTCATGGGTTTTGACCAAAGTGTGTGGTGTCTTCAGTAATAGGGCAATACTTTCATAATTCTGGTGCCAATCCAGAGCAATGAGTTGTCTCTTCTTAATTGGGTAGGATTTTACTTTTATAAAGGATGCTGTACATATATTATATTAAAAAGACTCACTTAGGAGCTAGCATACATTGAGCTATAGGTTCAATCCCTAGCACCATGAAAAAGAAAAAGAGTAATGTGTTCTGTCTAAAATTTTAAACATCTGATTCCAGATTCTGACTTTTAAAAAAACTCTACAACTTTGAAATTAAAATTGCACATTTGATAATAGTTTAAATTTTTAATTCAAATGAATTTCTGACAAGGAGGAGCAAGAAAGGAAGGAGAGAAAAATGAGTGAAAGAGTAAGACACAGGGAGGGAGAGAAAGTAGAGAGAAGGAGAGGGAAGGTAGAGGAAGGAGGAGAGGCAGGGAGGGAAGGGGGAGAAGAAGTGGAATAACATCCACACACATAACCTTGTTAAGAAATATGAACAATTTAGGTGTTTTCATATAATTGTTCTTTTTAGCTATGCCCATGTTTATGGCTTAGAAAACACATTTACTTTATTTTATTTTTCAGAAAAATCAGAGCTCCTTGACCAGCTCTGCCAAAGGCCCTATGGAGGTGGCCAACAATGTCACCGAGTTTATATTCCTGGGACTTTCCCAAGACCCAAGAATGCAGCTGATGTTCTTCCTGCTCTTCCTCCTCTTCTATGTCATGATCCTGGTGGGAAATGGACTCATTTTGCTCACCGTCTTCTGTGATCACCAGCTCCACACACCTATGTATTACTTCCTCAGTAACCTGTCATTTGTGGACATTGCCTATTCCTCAGCCACAGCACCCAAGATGATAGCAGACTTTATTTCTGAGAGGAAGGCCATCTCCTACTGGGGCTGTGCAGTTCAGATGTTTACTTTCCACTTCTTTGGCTGTGCTGAGATTTTTGTTTTGACTGTCATGGCTTTTGATCGCTATGCAGCCATCTGCCACCCTCTCCGTTATAATACCATCATGAGTGCCAGTGCTTGCACAGTTCTGGCCTCAGTGTCCTGGTTGGGAGCCCTGGCTCATTCCTTTGTTCAGACCCTCCTGACTTTTCAGCTGCCTTTCTGTAATGCACAAGTTATAGACCACTACTTTTGTGATGTCCACCCAGTCCTGAAACTTGCCTGTGCTGACACAACCCTGGTGAATATGTTAGTGATTGCCAACAGTGGTCTTATCTCTCTGGGGTGTTTCCTCATTCTCCTGGCCTCCTACACAGTCATTCTATTCAGTCTTCGGAAACGGTCTACAGAGAGCCGGCAGAAAGCTCTCTCTACCTGTGGGTCTCATCTAACTGTAGTGACTTTCTTTTTTGTTCCTTGCATCTTTATTTATCTTCGTCCATCCACTACTTTCCCACTGGATAAGGCTGTGTCTGTTTTTTATACCACAATTACACCAATGCTAAACCCACTCATCTATACTCTGAGGAATGGGGACGTGAAGAATGCCGTGAAGCGACTGTGGAGTCACAAGATCTCCTTGAAGGAAAAGCAGAATGCATAGTTTGTCAGAAAAGGAAAATCAGAAAATTAACTGAGGCTTTCAATGTCAAAAAAATATATACGTTTCAACAACTATATTATACAATTTTCATATAAATCAGTAGCAATATTCACAATAGTCAAGATATGGAATCAGCCTAAGTCCCATCAGCAGATGAATGAAAAATGTGGTATATTAACCAGGCATAGTGGTGCATGCCATTAGTCCCAGTACTTGGGAGGCAGAGCCAGATCTCTATGAGACTGAGGCCAGCCTGGTCTACATAGCGAGTCAAATGCCAGGCCAGCAGAGGCTACAGGGAGACTCTGTCTCAAAAAGGCAAAAAAAGTGGTGTATGTACAAAATGAAATTCTGTAACTTGCAATAGGATGGATGGACAATTCACAGTAAGAGTGATGGTGTTGAATCTCATCAAGGTATTTATATTAGGAAAATTAAGCAAAGCACAGAAGGGAACAGCATAATCCCACTCATATGTGGCTATTAAGATGTCCCCAGTAGAATAATAGTTACCAGGTGCTAGAGAGGCAGGGAGATTTGGGGCATGGGGGATATTGTTCACCAGACACAAGGTTACAAGTAGATAAGAGGAATATGTTTTGGAGTTCTACTGCATAGTAGAGTTAGTGCAGTCCATAGTTATTTATTGGCTGTTTCAAAAAGCTACATTTGAGTATTTTGAATGCTTCACTGAAACAAAATAGCAAATGTTTGACGTGATAGACAAGCAATAGACTGAGTTGATAATCAGACTGTAAAGTGAGTTGAATTTTCTGTGTGAATTGCACCATTTCATTTTACTTTAGAATTTTTATTCATTTATTTATTTTATTTTAAAAATATTTTATTTATGACTTTTATTTTATTTATAATAAAATGGGGATGTTGCCTCCATGTATGTAAGTGTACCCATGTCATTCAATGCCCACAGAGGACAGAGGAAGCTGTTGGATCCCCTGAACTGGAGTTACAGACAGTTGTTAGGTGCCGTGTGGGTGCTGGGATTCAGACCTGGGTCTTCTGCAAGAACAGCCAGTGTTCTTAACCACTGTGCTATCTCTCCAGCCCCTGTGTGGCAATTATTTTATTTCAGCACTAGCAATGTATTTTCTTAATCGCATCAGACTTTCAAGTGTCAGCTGACAAATGTCCTTGTGGTTTTTCTCAGGTTCCCTTGTTTGTAATGTGCTTCTTTATTCTTGCTACTTTAAAATTCTATTTATTTTTTTAATTTTAGACAGTTTGATCATAATGTGTGTGATCAAATTGGCTGGAGAATTCTGTTTTTCCAACAGAATTTTTCCTTGTATGTGGTATGATTTCTGCCACTACTTTCCTTAACTAATCTTTCTTATCCCCTGTTTTCTCTGTTCTTCTGAAGTTATTGTAGTCTTATGTTCCAGTTCTGGATGGCAACTGATGGATGCCATAGCCTTCCTTCATTTCTTTTCATCCCTTCTCTCACTCTGATGAAACAGGTAATTTCAGGTAAGCTGTCTTCTACTTCGCTGAGTCTGTATTATCATTTATGCTTGTTATACCTGTAATGTATATGTTAACTATTGTATTCTTCAACTTCATCATTTTCTAATTAATCCCTTTCAATGCTTTCAATATCTTTGTTGAGCTTTTCATTTTGTTTTTCAATGTTTTTCTGATATCTTTATTTATCTCTCTTCCTTATATCTCATAGAAAATTTTAGAACAATTATTCTGAATTATTTGTCAGGCAATTCATGGATGCCTAATCCTTTGGAATTGTATACACACACACACACACACACACACACACACACACACGCTTCTAACAGTTGCAATAGGGTATCAAACAACAAGCCCAGTGACAGGTATGTGTTACTGCTCTTCAAGTTGTTAGTTAGGGGTTCCTAGCATATAGACTATTGCTGTTGCTCTTGGTTACCCACTAGTACTTAAAGATAAGCCCCTATTGCTGAAGACACCATGCACTTTGGTCAATGGAAATGAAGAAATCAAGCTGGGATAAACTGGGAGCTTCCTCCCTGCTGTCTAGCTTTCATAGTGTCAGGCAGTACTATGTAGGCTGCTAAGGGAGAAACTCCTTAACAGTCTTACCCAGCTGTCAACCCATAAGCTACAATGATGAATGGTCTGACAAGATGTGCCCATTGATGCAATAGTGGCATTGATGTTATAGGGGTGACCCATGGTTTTGTGATTGGATTTAAGTCCTTCTCAACAGGTGGGAACCTGGCCAAGAAACTGTGTGGGGTAGGTCCTCAGCATTAGGGGAGAATCTACTACTACTATTTTATAAATGAATATAGTAGATATTTATCTTTTTACCATTAGATTTATAAAGTTCTCAACTATCATTGAAGAAGCTTATTTTTGTAGTAGATGGCAATTAATACAGAGATTTACAACTGGGCTGAGTGCAGAGAATAAGAGGCTGGAGTGCTCAGATCCAAATGAGATGTCTTTATCAAAACTCTCCTCTCAAGACTCAGTGATCATTGTGGATTAGAGGGCAGAAAGATTATAAGATCCAGAGGTTGCATAGGGCTTCTGCAAAATAGTGTTTTCTAGACACGACAGAGATGCTGCAAATAAAAACTCTCAAGGTTGTGGCTGTATGTACAAGATCTGTACTCCATCAAGTCATTCAAAATTCCAATTCAGGAGAGGATCATAAGGCCACATTCCCAGCTAAGGAGCTATTTGCAGTTGATGGCTTTCTGGAGAGGTAGAGTAGTGTTACTTCATCTGTGTGGCCCCTGGAAGATTGCTTGTGATTCAGTGGATGGCCTTACCCATGCACGCATAGGCTGTAATAAATGGACTCAATGGGTTAAACCCAGAATACGTGACACTGAGAGGTAGTGGTGAGATGAGAGAAGTGAGACAGGAGGGAGTTCTGGGTAGAGTTGAACAGAATTATGTTTCATACATGGACAAAACAGTGAAACAATAAAAAAATAGCTCCTGAATTCATTTGTGGAGCTAGCTACTATGTGGCAATTACTTTTCTTATTAGTGTTGATCTAAATATTGTGAATTATAGAGTTCTACAATATAATTATAAGCAAAATGGATACTTGATCTATCATATTTGTTACCCTAACTTCATATGACTAGCCAAGTCAATAAGGTGAAAGTTTTAATTAAATTTAAAATTAAATGAAGAGTATACATATGTATATATTTGTTTTGAATTTTTTAAAATATATTTTTATCGAATTTTTCCTATTTTCATACACTTTAGTTTGATGGTATTTAGACACCATCCCCGTCCAGACCTACCCTCTCCGTCCCCCACCGAATTTACTGCACTCCTGAGATTAAGCCTTACTCTGTAGCTTAGACTGGTCTAGAACACAGTGTTGGCCCTGCTGCGCCCAGCCTTGCTGCAGTCCTCCTGCCTCAGCATCCCAAGTGCTAGGATTAGAGAAGTGAGCCCTCAGGTCTAGCAATATTGTAATTTGGTGCATAACATTTCTAAATGCATTGTCTTCTGTCAAATGTGTTATGTATCTTCCATTTTCATTGTTCTTCATTTCTGTGTGTCAATCTCATACTAGTTATTTTACTCTAATTTAACTTTGTATAAGTAATCTTATGAAAACAATTTTCCAAAAGAGTGGAGTTTAAATAAGTTTGACAGATAAAATGGAGATAGAACCCAATGTGTCTGTAAGAGAACATTTAATTTGTTAAAATTTCTCTGTAAATGAGTCATTAAACTGGGGTGAGGCTGTGGGAATTCAGATTACACATGTAATAAAATACAATTTAATCAGACATTCACCTAAATTTTGTTATATATACATACAAAACATACACAGTACATTACTGCCATTGATTTGTTGTGGTGAGACTAGCCCAACAACATTTCTATTCTTCTGTAACTGACCTAGCTTCTGATCCACAGCATTCATGTGCAGAATGAAAAATGTCAGAATAAGCTTATTTTTTCCAGGTTACAATAGTGGTTGTATAAATAGTAGATAATTGTCACCTGATTTATGTAAATAAACACTGGTTTTTGTTCTTGGTCATTATTGTATTCCTTGTGCCGACTATGGTGTCTGAAATGTTATTATTGAGTACTTGTGAAAACATTGAATAAAGATACCAATACATTTAAGATTAACAGCTTAGTCATAAGCCTTCATTAAAAACATGGTAAAACCTGGGGAGATGGCTTGGGTAAAGGCTTTTGCTACCAAGCGTGACAACCTGAGTTCAAATGGACCCAAATGGTGGGAAAAGAACCAGTTCCAACAAGTTGTCTTCTGATGTCTACACGTCATGCACACATACACAAATGAGTAGACTGGAACAAACATTTTTAAACATGGATAATTTTGAATAATTTGTGCAGTATTCATATATTTGGATAAAAGTCCATTTCTTTAAGTATTTAGCAACTCTGATAGTCTTTTGGAAATTGGTGTGATTAATCATATGCATTATAACATTATCACCTCCAGTCCTGGGAAATTTGTTCTATGAAATTCAAAAATTGTATTTCTATTCTCAATGATGAAACAAACATTAACTTTTAAATTATACCCTTAGGGATTTTCTTCCTATCTGGATATCTATGAACTCCAGAGAATTCGTTTTCAGAGTTATATCCCACAGTGTTAGCACATAGTCAGATCAGGACAGGAACTGATAAATATCAAAATACAGAAGAAATAGCCTTCTTTGTAGATGTGCGGAAAGCCATCTTCTAGCTCCCATTTTTTTAGGCCCTGACAATACCCAGGTTAGCAAAGTAATTGTCAAGTGGAAAAACACTGTTATAATATTTATAGAAACCACTTTAACTTTGAGACAAGATGAGTATCATGATGGAATATGTTTTATAAAGTCAAGAGACCAGTGATCAGTAGCAGAAAGCCTCAGGTAAGTAAGTGTCCAGGGAGACAGGCAGTGCAGGTCAGCAATGAGGTGCAGATGACAGACAACTTCTGCTGCAGTTTGATCACAGTGGCCAAACCGTGTTGAACTCA